AAAAAAAAAAAAAAAAAAAAAAAAAAAAAAAAACTATGGAGCTGACATTAAAAGCGTTTTATCATTCGTAAAAAGTTAAAAACAACAAAACTATCAGAACACCCACCGACATTCGATTAACATTTACCATTGCAACGGTCAAATTATTAGCCTTTAGATTTTGTGGCACCACGCCGGAACTGAAGCTTACATTAAACGAGTGGAAATTAAAGAACAAGTATGTTATTTTTCTTCTCGACTACAACGATCATAAGTTATCAAGACGATATATTAAGTGATTAAATTGGATGGTGTTAACCAATTACTTCATTAAAACTCAGTAACGTCAATTTTTAGTATTTTCTCCATAATATAGTCTAAAATCATCCACTCAAATATATTCAGAACCACATTCCAGTTGACTTCACACATACACATAAACACAGATATACGCACACACAACATACGCTGCGCTTATTGGTGATTTAATCGGTGAACAAAAATCGCTAAACCTCAATCAAGCTTTTTACGTGAAGTTTACGTCATCGGCAAAGCAATTAATTATCTACAAACCTCATTAATATATTAACTTCCAAAGAGCGGAAGTTAGCACCCAAGCTAGCTAATTAATTGTTTAATTCATAGTTTTTATAAACATTTGCAGATGTATTTTTTGACGAGTGGCAGCAATTTTAATAGATAATAATACTGATTTCTATCCTATTTTTCGATTCAAGTTCTCTGCAAAAAACATAAAATTTACAACCAACTGTGAGAGCTGAATAAGCTGAAATCTGACGTGAAACTGAAAACTGCAGTAAATAAACAGTCTGCCATTAAAAAGACTATTTTTTAACACCGTTGGATTACGTGAAAACATTTTGCAGTCTGTATCATATCTTCGAATTTATTATACTAAAGTTAAACAAAATGGCAACTAACGAACCACAACAATGATACAACATTGTTCTGATATATTGATAAATATAAGTTAAAAACAGGAGTCATTAACCATGAATAAAGAAGTTCCACTTATTGCGGAACCACTGCTATTGCTTCTATTTCAACTTGGGCATTTTTTGGCAGTGCTGCTACCTAAAAAGTAAATCCATTTTAGGTAAATTAGTAGTTTGGCGAGTAAAAAGAAATAAGGAGAAAACAGAAGAGTACTAGCTAAAATTCTGAAAGATTAACAGTAACTATTAGAAATACCTGGTAAGCAGCTCTGGCCGGGAAATCTTTGGTGAAGAATTTTTTGTAAACCTCATTCACAATACCGAAGTCGTCCATATTTTTCAGTAAAACTGTAGTTTTGACAACTATAAAAAAACTTGATTTTGACTAGTATTTTGATTTTCACTGAACAGTGTTTAAAATACACAAAAGTCACCAAATAGATGAAAAAAAGACTGTGTTAATAAAAAAACGAGCGAAAAAAAAGAAAGAAAAAAAAATATATATATAACGTAGACATATATGCATTTGATCATTCACTTGATTAGAGCTAAAAAAAAACTTGGATTGACCGATAAATACTTTTTTGATCATTAAAAAACACACATACCGTGAGAGTAATCTCCATTAGCAGCTTTCAAGATTTCTCCAATATTTTTCAAGGACTGTTCTGCTTGCTCAGCAACGCCTTCACCAGCAAATGCTCCGGTCTTTGGAATCAAACCAAGTGAACCGCTAATGTAAATTGTTTGACCAACTTGAACGGCTTGACTATAAATGTTTAGAAGTTTTAGCACATCTCAAAAAATGACCCAAAATTTAATGAACTTAAAATATATTCAAAAGCTTTTATAACTGCTATGGCAGTATGGAAAAAAAAAGCTCTCTTGATTTCAATGTAGTGAAAATATGAGGATGAAAAAAATTGTTTAAAATTTTAATATTCTTTACACAAATCTAATAATCCAGTTGTTTAATCAACAACATTTCCGATACCTATAGGGTCCAATTGCAGCAGGAGCATTTGCAGTTGATATTATTTTTCGTACCAATGCAGCCATAATTAGACTGATACAGCTTAAATATAGAAGCATTGATATGATGAAAAAAATCACGGACATTTTTTTGATACATAATGTCAAATACACAGACACATACACATCAGCTGCGCATATTACATTTATCCTTGTCAGCTAATCGTGAACTATAAGCGTCAAATAAAACAGTTAATTAGAATGTTTACATTGTCAGTAGCACTTAAACAGCTAGAATAAACTAAAATCTGCATTAGATAAAATTGATCCGTGATGATAAAAATTGGAACAAATATCTCTAAATCGCATTACATAAAGAAGGTTTAGAATAACCATTCCATAAAATTTAATCCAGCAACAGAAAAGAAAAAGCAAAAAAAGGGCGAAAAAAATTAACGGTGTAAAGAAAATTATTAGTTTTTTAAGAAGCATAACTTAAATATTGTGGCAACAACGTAAACCTGCTACCAGAATCTCGTGTTCCAGATCCGATCGCTCAAAACAAAAGCTTTCGGAACTTGAAACTTCTTTATGAAAGTAATAAGTGCTGCTAACTGTAATAGCAGTTGAAAAGCAGTATCCTGCACTTTTTTCCCAAATAGCCGCCTTGTTATGCTCTCTAAACTTTATCCCAGAATTCTTCTTTACCTAAAGACCTTCCATCCTTAACTTGTTATACTCTCCAATAAACAATTTGAGAACAAAGTGCTTATATTTTGTAATTTTTTAAGTATTTTGGTGGCATAAAGCTAAAGAGCTTCTCTTTTCTGAAGTCCTGAAGTGATGGTACACCAAATTTTGCAGTTTAAACATCGGACAGAAAGGCAATTTGATAGTAAACATTTCTTCTTTACTGACTTCTTGAAGGCTAGAGATTCCTGCTGATGCGCGAGCCAGAAAACTCCCAGCAAAAATGAGCATCATAGTTGAGCATAATCGGCCTTGTGTTACCGATAGGCAGTTTCAGAAAACTGGACTGATAATTGGGTTTAGATAGTCCACAATGTACGATTTGGCAACAGAGCATAACAGGGTGAAGTGGACTGCTGCAGTTAGACTGTTAATATTTCATACAGCAAAACTAATTTTTAAAAAGTATTGTTAATTCCCACAAAACTGGTAATCATTTCGTGACTGAAGAAAAAAAAGGAGGAACCTTAAGCCCAGAAGACTCTATAGTACCGAAACAGAGGTGTGCAGCCCCATTTCCCACTGTATTTGGCACCTCATATG